TGGGTGGGAGGGGGCAGGGGATGGGGCTGCAGGCGCCTACCTGGTGCACGTCTCTGTGTGTCTGGGCACTAGAGGGAACCACCCCTCCACCGGCACTGCCCCATTGGCCGCTTCCTCCCCCCTGCCAGGCAAAGCCCACGGGCCAAATCCTGCCCTGGGAAGCTCAGGTCTCCGCTCCTGCAGTGGGGAGCTGGCAATGGTGCTCCAGTCACCGTGCCCCCGTGTGGCTGGAGGGCCAGTTCGCACCCCTGCAGGGGGAGGGAGGGGAGCCCCAAGCCTCACAGGCTGGATCAAGGCAAGTGGTGGGCCGGATCTGTAGGTTCCCTTCCCTGAGCTGGGGGGAGGATGAGCCGGTGGTCTGAGTGTAGCCTGGAACTCAGGTGCACCTGCTCCGGCCACAGGCTCCCTGGGTGTCCTTGAGCAAGTCACCTGGGGTCAGATTCTCCGGGTCTTTTGGCTCCTAAATGCCACGGAAAGCCGCAGGAATTAGGTGCACAAATACCTTTACAAATCTAGGCCTGACCTCCCTGCCTCAGTTTCCCCATCAGTAACACGGGGACGGCTCGGCCCTGCCTCATAGGGGTGAGGTTAAGCCTAGCGAAGACGCTGAGGTGCTCAGGCCCTGCAACCCCAGGCAGGCAGGAGATACGGATCCCACAGCTCGTAGAAGCAGGCAGGCCTGGCTAGGTTGGGAGGAGCTGGGGAGGATGACAGACATGCCCTGAGCACGTGCCGGCAGGTTACTAGCCCTGGGTCAGCTCAGAAGGCAGCTCTGGCAACCAACCCAGCCACCCTGCATACCCCAGAGGGGAAGGAAGACTTACCCCCCGGGGCTTAAGGACGGCTCCTTCTTGGCCATGGGCCTGTCTAGTCCCAACAGATAGGGGACTCCCACCACTTCTTGCAGGGGGCGGCTGGGACTCCCCCTATTTGCCCAACCGGAACGTGGCCCAGGGCTCAGGGTTGCAACGACTTCTGCCCTGAAGCTGACCCAGAGGCCCTGGCGCGAAGGCAGCTGCGGCGAGCAGCGGAACGTACGAGCACAGCTGCCCACCTTAAATAGCTCCAGCAGGTCCTGGCGGGACACTTCCAGCCTCTGGAAGGGAAGCTGCTCTCGCACGACGGACTGGCACGCCTCCTGCACGGCGGGGAGCTCGCTGCCCAGCACGGCTCTGCGGGGACAGCGAGACGTTTTTAAAACCCCAGGCTGTGACTGCCGATCCCAGCTGGAGGCCAGGCCACGCGAGGGTCCTTCGCAAGGTGTCTTCACACCCATGTGTGCACCCAGCCAACACTAACCGCTGGAGGAAAGGACCCAGGGACAAAGGCCCCACACTGGTGTAAGGGGGCTCCAGGAAGCAGGCACGGCCTGGTGCGGTCCTACCATGCTGTCCATGCAGCCTAATGTAACACTGCAGCTGAGTTCATGGGAGCTTAATCCAGGATGCCACCTAGCGGAAGGGAAACGAAACAAGCCCCACGAGATCCTGGTTTCATAGAGTTTGAGGCCAGATGGGGCCACTGAATCTGCTGCCCCACCTCCCGCGAGGCACAGGCCGGAGAATTCACCCACGTGCCCAGAGAAGCCAGTTCAGTCAGCAAGCCCATGTTAGGGCAGGGAATGGACGAGGTGGGATGCACCCGGACGATGCAAAAAACCACCCCAAAGTCCCTGCCAATCTGACTTGAAGGGGAAATTCCTCCCCAGCCCCAAATCAGCCTGCCACGCAGCTAGAAAGGGGACTCAATTGCCACCGGGATGTGGTACCACGTGCTGCAAGATTCCTCCAGCAGGCAGCTGGCGGAGCTGACCCCAGCCCAGCAAAAGCTGGGGCAGAGATGCGCAGACACACGCTTACGGCGTTGCATCGTGAGCCCTGTGCCGAGCGCCTCCTGCTCCCACTGCGCTGGACCTCACAGGCCTCGGTTCCAAGGGCTGCCCTCTTGCGAGATTTTCATGGAGCGCTGCGGGGTCTGGGATGGAGGCTGCGTGCAGAAGGGAGCTCAGGCTAGGGGACTGGAGTGCTGGGGGCAGGAGAGGATTCTGACCCAGAGAAGGGGTGCAGGGTCTGGAAGGGGGTTGTGACTTGGAGCAGGAGGAAGTGCAAGGGGTTGGGTTGTGACCTAGGGCAGGAGGAGGGTGCAGGGTGAGGGAGGACATAAGAACGGCCAGACTGGGTCAGACCAAAGGTCCAGCCAGCCCAGTATCCTGTCTCCCGACAGTGGCCAGCACCAGGTGCCCCAGAGGGAGTGACCCAAACAGGTAATGATCAAACGACCTCTCTCCTGCCATCCATCTCCACCCTCTGACAAACAGAGGCCAGGGACACCCCCTCTTACCCATACGGGCTAATAGAAATTAATGGACTTAACCTCCATGAATGTATCTAGTTCTCTTTTAAACCCTATTACAGTCCTGGCCTTCACAGCCTCCTCAGGCAAGGAGTTCCACAGGTTGACTGTGCACTGTGTGAAGAAGAACTTCCCTTTATTAGTTTTAAACCTGCTGCCCATTAATTTCATTTGGTGGCCCCTAGTTCTTGTATTATGGGAACAAGTAAATAACTTTTCCTTATTCACTTTCTCTGCACCACTCATGATTTTATAGACCTCTATCCTGTCTCCTCTTTTCCAAGCTGAAAAGTCCTTGTCTCTTTACTCTCTCCTCACATGGGGCCCGTTCCAAACCCCTCCTCGTTTTAGTTGCCCTTCTCTGAACCTTTTCCAATGCCGATGTATTTCTGTTGAGATGAGACCACCACATCAGTACGCTGTATTCCAGATGTGGGCGCACCATGGATTTAGATAAGGGCAGTAAGATATTCTCTGTCGTATTCTCTAGCCCTTTTTGAGGGAGTATGGGTACAGGAGCAGGGGCGCAGAGAGTTTGGGTTACGTGGGGCAGGGGTTTGGGAGTGGGGCAGAAGGTTGGGGGAGGGAGGAGTTGGGGTGAGAGAGGCAGGCTCTGGCTGGGAGGTGCTTACCGAGGCAGCTCCCAGCCAGCAGCCCAGCAGGCAGGCTCCCTGCCGGCCTTGTACCAGCGGAGGGGCCACGTGCAGCTCTGAGCACCATGAGCTGGAGGAGGGGACACTGTGCACTGCTCACCCTGCAGAGAGGCAGCTCCCATTGGCTGGTTTCCAGGGGGAGCTGGGAGACTGTGGCAAGGGCGGGGCAGTGAGCAAAACTCCCCTCCCCTCCCCGGCTCACACTGGTGCTCAGAGAGGCACATGTGACCGGCTGCTCTGAGCTGCATGTTGGGGCGCAGCAGGCAGGGAGCCTGTCCGAGGTTCTCACTGGGCCAGATCCAGCAGCTTCGCAGGCGGGATCTGGCCCACGGGCCTTAGTTAGCTCGCCCCGGCTCTCCCTGCACAAGCTCTCCTGCTGCTCCCTGCAGCTTCTGCTCCCGTGCAGCGAGGCAGCAGAGTTCTACACGCACCTCCGACTGGGCCCCCTTGGCACGTACCTGTCTACCTCCAAAGAGACCCCAAGATCCCATCTACAGCCTGCAGGGCCGGCCTGAGCCATTTTGGCACCCCGGGCCCGGGTGTGCGGCGCTGCCCCATGGCGCACGGCACATGTGCGGGTCCCCCCCCAGGGAGCACAGGCCCGCCCCCGGTCCGCACGACGCATGCGCTGCCCAGCCCAGCCCGGCCATCGCTGCTGGTGTGCAGCGCCTGGCCGTGCAGGGC